AGTACTGGAAAGTTTTAAAACTGAACGAAGTTAAACAATTTATAAAACATCATCGATTGCAATAAAATAGCAAAACTGACAAAATCAGTTGAAAATTCATCCTCTTGATCGACTGTGGCAAATTTTTTCACTGGAACTTCTGGACGACTTCTCTAACAAGTCGACCACAATCCTGACATAAAGTTTGCGTCTGTCGATCAACAGCATTGTGTAATTCAGACTAGTAATACCATCCGTTCTCCAGCGCTTTGACGAATAGTTTAATAGTTTATGCCTGCATGGATTGATGGGATTACCTGACTCGTGTTCATGGTGCAACATCTTGTATCTAGCTATACTTGCTGGATAACGGCTGATTTTGAGATTGTTCTCCACCGTTCTAAAAACCATCAACATATTACTTACTGTACAGAATTTAATGCACTGTGTACGCAAATCACTACCTTGTGTAAAGATCATCGTCTTCGCCGCCCCAGCCCCAAAAATCGTTGCTAAAGCCATTAATTGTTTCGAATTGATCCCTAGTGAAACCTGTCACTCCGCCTAACAACGTGTCGTACGGAAGCCTAAAATTTCAAAGCATGTTTAGTCATGTGAAACAAAGGCAATAAGCTATGCTATTGAAATAAATGCGTTGCACAGGCGTTAAATCAACAGTTCTTAAGTTGTGTTTTGTTTTTATTGTTGTTTATTATGTTTATCTGGAAATCGGCAGCTTTTCATGGCTCCTCTGTTCCAGATTAATGATGTCCGATTTAACATACACGAAGGAAGTCCTCAAATTACTTTACGCATTAACCGCTTCGACAAACGACATACTCTTTGTCATGAGCAGATCAGCTTGCAAGAGGCTATCTATGCATGAGGGTTTAACTGGCGCCCTTTACTTTTATGCGTTTCGGTCGACTCTCATAAAAGGAACATTTCTCTGACGGCTTTTGTCATTTGAGGCATTTTATTGAACCAGTACAGCGGTAAGCATCGGTTTCGCAATGTTTCAGAAAACTTCTTCAACTTTTCTCGTTTTTCAATATATCATAGTTTTTTAATCGATTACAGTAACCAAAATTTGATGATGTGGCACAAGCATCGTTGCCGATACCAGTTTAACTGATGTCGTTGACATTTCACGACAGTTGCTGTCTCGAGGCTATACGAGAGAACGGATAGCACAACCGTATTTTAGATAGTGACGTTTGTATTTATCGATAATGACCAATCAGTCCTTCCATACTCCATGCAGCCTCATAAAGTTTGCTCCTGCAAGTCCAATGCACCGCTGATCATTAACATCTGAATCATAGCCTTCATCGCTCGCCATAACAGAACCGTACTTGAACTGGTCCCATTTCTCCACCATTATATTTGATCGCCAGGGCGTTCGTTACACTTAAGCCCTCATCACTTTTGATTTTGTCAATTGATTCGTAGCCAAATTTGTTTTGCCACATTTCACACACTAACTGATCGTAAACATATCCCTGCTCACCGTCAGTATTGCTGACCAGAACAGCAGTGTCCATATTCCACGTTAAGACGGTCAGATATTTCTCGGTACTTTGAGCTTATTCTTGGCCAGATGTAAAAATCTTCTATCTAGCTTTGAACAACGGCACTTATCCGCATGATGTGGTCAACCGCAATGGAGAATAGCAGGTTTGGAAAGTACTTGACGTTGACGAACGCTGGATGAGACGTTGAACCACTCTATGACAGATTACCCTTGTTTTTCCCTCACATTTCCTCCGTCTCTCGTAATATCTTGTCAGCAATGGCTTCAAGTACAGTAGGACTAGAATATTAAAAAATTATAATCGTAAAATGCTTTTAAAATATTTTCTTTTTCGAATAAAAGTAGAAAGTATCGAGGGCACAGAAGTACACCGATGTTTCAGTTCTAGTACTGAACACTAAGCACGTACGTTTTCTGAGCAACCACTTACGTCTAGCACTGACACAACCATACAGAAAACACAAACAACGAACAATTCATCAACGGTTAAAAATTTCCATAACAAAGTTTAACTTAGTCATTAATCACTTTAAGCATCACAGTGGTCATTGCTCCAAACACCTCGGCGATATTTACGCACACGGTGACCTAACATTGGTTGAATAACTGCAGTCGCAGATGTACATCGCATAATCTAACTAGTCATTGAACAATCTCTTGCTGACCGTGAGCGAGGTGTTTGCTGCTGTTGCCGCCATGTTGCTGACGTATTACGCCATACACATCGGTTCACAAGCCGAAATGCGCTGACAGGCAAATAACTTCTGACAATAATGGTATACTGTATCGTCAGCCACTACCTTCTCAGTTGTTTACAGGGAGCCATATAAGCAGATCACGGTTTGAACAAGGAAATATCTGAACTGACAAAATGACGCGAGATGCATTCAGCATTGCATTTACTGAAACACCAATAGAGCGG